AAAAAAAAAAAAAAAAAATAAAATAAAATAAAAAGAAAAAAATATGTACAGTTATAAAGTATAAAATGTATATAGTTTCAAACAGAATTAAAGTTCCTGTTCTTTGTTCATTACTCTTGTACCCTGAAACAAAGATATCGGCGCGAAAGTTAAAAGATTCAGCCAAGGTAGACAAGTCGCACATTTGTTCTACGACTAAAGAGCAAAACGCGCAGTCACTAAGGATAAACGTTGGAATTTTTCAGACGACGAAGACGCTCAAGTGTCGGCGGTTTAAAGTGGTCCACGACGCGTGTAAGGAGTTCCTTGGAAGGATCGTCACTCCCCGCGAGGAAGAGGTAACAACCATATGCCACGTGCTGAGATGGTTCCCGAGGCCGATTTCTCGAGCTTTGTATCCGCTTTCGAAGACTCTCGGAATAATCGAGGCAGCAAAAATTTCGAAAGAACTCGCTCGAGGAACAAAGGAGGGGACGCATAGACAAAAAGTTGAAATTAATCGACGCACATGCCCTTCACGGTGCTTTTGAAAGGTTCTCGATCGTCGCATTGGAACTCGAGGAACTCCTTCCTTCGGAGAAGAACGCGCTCTTGAAATATGTTGAGAAGAAGCGCTCGTCTTCCAGAACTGTTGAGAAAGGAAACGAAGAGGAAGATATAATGAGAGAAGAACACAAAAGTTTAGAATCTCACGTTCTCAGTTACGCCCCACGGGATACTACGAGAGAACACACTGATCGCGAGACAGGAAGAAAAGAAATGAAACAGAGAGAGAGAGAGAGAGACGAGAAAAGACAAAACGAGAAACGACACTAGTAGAACATAGACGTTTGTATCAGACTGATGTGAAGACGAATTGTCGTCCGATACAAAGGTGCCACGTCCAGTTTCACGTTAACGGCCACTCAGAATGAAAGCGAGAGAGAAAGAAAGAGAGAGAGAGAGAAAGAGAGAGAGTGAGAGACTAGAGAGGCGCGAGAAATTACGAGGTCATAAGTAATAATTCTCTATAAATGTGTAATAAATCGAGTCCAAAGATGTTATATATATATATATCGCGTAATCGTCGCAAGGAGTACGAATAACGGCGTGTCCTGTATTATATTACTTTTTAGGCTAATCCCCGAACGCCCAGAATAGCTTAAGTATACATTTTTTTTCTTCTTTTTTTTTTTTTTTTGGTGTACATAGCGTGTAGCGTTTAACGTAGTAGTCTGTAATTCAGCAAGGATGACGTATATGTGTGCATGTGTGTGTATGTTTATTGTACGTACGCGCGCGTTCGAACGAAAGAACGAGGGAATTCCAGTGTGCGAAAAAAAAAAAAAACAAAAAACGAATCAAACCTGGTTACACATGCAAATCTGTCCGTTTGTTGTTTCTTCATCTTCTTTTAATATTCTTCTTCGATGCTCTCAGACATTTTAAAAATTTCGATGATATCGTATCTAAAGCTACGTGTTTTTTCTTTCTGTTTTTATACTTTCTTTTTTTTTTTTTTTTTTTAACGGAATAATCTGACAGGCTTCTCGAGTAATTGTTCTTTTCTTTTACATTTTCGTTTGTTGTACAACGTGTGAGTGTGTTACTCGCGTGTCGCAAAAGCAGAGATTTATCGTATCGATGGCGTTTCTAGGGGCGACACTCCTGATTTTTACGGTTTCAGTGTGTGCGTGTGTGTGTGTACGGAGTTTTACCGTTGACGCGATCACAAGTACAAAGTATTTTTTGAGGGACTAAACGAGAAAAATTGCGAGTCTTTTGCGTAGAGGGCGTTTGTCGCACGAACATGTGTATGTGTATCGTTCCTGGGCTTTTGAAGTACATTTAAAAAGAAAAAAAAAAAAGAAAAAAAAACGTTTATCCGCGATGTGTACGAGTGTATGCTTGTAACGCTCGTTTACGTTGTTCCAGCGTTTAATATTAACTGCACGTTCAATAGGAACGAGAGGACGAAAGAAAATTCAATCGAGAATAAAAATTAGAGTTTTAAAGAAAAAATCATACTTGACAAATTTTGAGTGACAGGGAGAGTGGAAGCAAGAGAGATCGAGTGTGAGTTTGAACGGATGAACAAACGAGTGAATGAAAGATAGAGAGAGAGGAAACAAATACAACAAGAAGGTATTAAGCGTTTCAGGAAGGAAATTTGAGAGAGGATATACATAATAATAATAATCGATATGCATCGCGGTATGCTCAACTTATTTTTACCGAAATAATTAATGATCAATCGAAAACGAATTTTAGATCTGCTGTAACTTATATTTCTCGCCCTTCTCGAATTCGATCTATCGTTATCGAAGAAGTAATATTAACGGAGCACCGAAACGCATTTCGTCGATAACTAATATTTTCCGAAATTTTATCAGTATCACGGTACTTTTAGTTTTATATATATATATATATTATATATATATAAAAAAAAACAAATATATATTATAAATACATAAATATATCTATATATGTATAATCCGCGCCGTGCGAGAAAAGAGCATATTATAAAACGAAAAAAGAACGAAGCAGCGGGATTTCGAAGCCTCTGTCTCAGGCGGGAAAAGAGATAAACAAGCGAAAGGGAAGACCGCCAGAAGTCATGTAATATCATCGCGAGACCGCGTATCTCGATCGTCGACACCAATAGCCGAAACTAATAACTACTATACCGATAATATTCGCCAAGCGTGCTAAATACCACTGTCATGTTTTGTGTAAACAGAGAATTGTACGGTGTAAAAAATTCACAGTTGACGACGACGATAGCGAGCGTACGAAAACGCGTTATATTTAGGGCAAAGAGAGAGAGAGAGAGAGAGAGGACCTAACTTCGAAGGCGATTTCCTTTCGCGACGAACGATTTCTGCCAAAATGCGCGTGAAAAGCGAGAGAGCAGCAGTCTCGAGGATTAACACGGTGCTTCCTTCTTTTCCTTTATCTCTCTTTTATCAAGACCCTGAAACGCTCGAGATTCTTGGAAAAAGAATTTCCGCAGACTAAACTCCAACTCTTTGAGGCTTTCGAGCGTGACGTGTATCATTATGTATGGACATTCCACGAGTTGTTGCGTCCCCATCGTGAATCGTGCCCCGAGACGAACGAAATACTTCCTAAATGCGACTAGAAACTACTCTGAAACACACGTGTTAACGTTTCTGGGGAAACACGAAAGAAACAAAATGGCTGAACACCGTGCTGATCCTCGCCACACACGTTCGATCCGCGCGGACGAATCGAGCCGAGCCGTGAGACGTAACGATCGACAAATTCACGTTTCGTGGAGGCGCTCGGTTTCACGCGGATCCTGCGGTTACGGCGACATTTACTGCATATTCATATTAATATCTCTTTGTACATATCCCTTAATGACTTTTAAATATTATTAATTAATCTCGAACGTTCTCTCGAAACAGGCGTTCAATAATGGCGAGCGTTGTGTCCAACAGCATTTCGAAAATATATATATATATATCGATCTCGAATAAGAATGAGATTCGATCGTATCTCGAGCGTAGAAGGAAAGAAAATGAACGAAACTGGCAGGGAAAAAAACGATGCTATTTCCATTTCCCCATTCTCATTCTCACGTACGTACCGAGAGAGCTCTCCTCTCCTTGCAAATCGATCGATCGTTTCTTGCGTTTCTTTTTCCCCGTTTCCCCCGAAACGATCTTCCTTTCTTTCCCCTTTGTTCGTTTTTCTTTTCATTTTTCGCAAACTTCGGCGGTTCGAGGGTTCATTCCAGTAAGCATTTACTTTGTCGCCGATCGCGTTTTCGTTTTCCTCTTCGAGAATTCACGGCGTCACGCAACGGGAGACAAATTTCAACAGATCGACGAGTCAGATTGAAAGATTACCTCCAATAACGAACGTAATTTGATCTTTTAAAAAAAAAAAAAAAAGATTCTTTAACAGAAATTTCAAAGTGAAGCGAATGTTGAACTTGGTTTGAGGGAGCAGAATCAGCAAAAAAACATTCTGAGAAACGTACGAAATTCATTCGAGAGTAATACGGCGAGAGAGACAATATGGCGGTCATTAAGTCTTGGACCAAGTCTTGAATTGCCGAAGCTCGAGCCCTCTTCCTTCTTCCTTTAATTTTAAAACGAAAAAGGTCCACCTTGTCGTAGAATTTGTGTAAACGCGAGCGTGTGCGAGTATGTTGTACTGAGACAGAGAGAGAGAGAGAGAGAAAACGTGTAGAAAAAGCCTTTGAACTTTCTTCTTCCGCGAGCTCTGTCGCCCTCCCCCTTCCCTCCCCTTCGCTCCACCCTTCGATGACTTCTTTTACTTTTTATTTAATGCCCCTTGCGTTCTCTTCTGTTGATTTTAATTATTTATATTAACTCGAGAGTGCGACTGTTCGTCGCGGTCGGCAGAGACACGAGCAACAAGGAAACAAACGTAGAAACATGGAAAAAGAAACAGAAAACCTTTTGTATTTAATTTGTTTAATAAAAAAAAAAAAAAAAAAAAATCATGGATCATAGTACAACATTCCCGTGTGGATTTTTGGTTCCGCGGACGGAAATCAAACTCCTCTCACCCTCGTTTCTTTCTTTTCTTCGTTTCGTTTTCATTTGGAAAATGTCCAAACGTCTCATTCACCTTTGATCCTCCACCTTCGTCCTCTCTGACCCGTTGTTCATTTCCTCGCGACGAACACGACACGAGGACAAAACGAAAGTTAACCCTCGGAAGCGGTTATTTCGAGGGAAGTCACGAGTGAAGTTTCACGAAGCCAGTGTAACAATATTTTTGTTCTATTCTCGGTAATCGAACAAACGCAGCGATAAGAAGGCAGCTCCGATACTTTTCAATTACTGGAAAGTTGTGAGAAATCTACTTACGAATTTTATAGGAAAACGTTCCGAAATGATTCTTCTGAATCATTTTCAGTATTTAAATTACCGATATATAAAAATTTGCGAGAAATCTGCCTCTGAATTTGTAGGAAAAAAAAAGTTCTAAAATGATTCTGGTTTACTTAAATCTCACAGAAAAATAGCATTGTCTACTTGCTGCTTTTACTTCCATTATATTCGACGCAGGACGAAGGTTCTTTTTCCACACACATAATAAAATAAAAATATTCTCGGGTTGAAATTTTACTCATGACAAACCCTCACCGAGGGTTGAAGACGAGACGAAACACCTACAAAAGAAACGAACAAAAAGAAAAAAAAGTAAATAAACCAACAAATTAAGAAAAGAGAGAGAGAAAAAGAGCGAAGAGGAAGAAAAAATAGTCGACACGAGCGACAGAAAGAGAAGCTCGAGAACAAAGAACAAAGTAGCAAGATCGTAGCAAGGTGGACGCGTGAAACGCGCCCCGATCCTTCCCGCGATTTTTCACTTTGTTTCCCTCTTTCGACCGATCTCTGCGTACGGTATACGGTTTATATCGGCGAGAGAAAATGAACCGTGCGAAATCGAGCGCGGAAGCATCGAACTTTTTCCACTGAACGCCACTGACAATGAGAGTTTCGCCTTAGAGATGCGCAAACCTCGGGCGAGAACGCAACAAAGGGGCGAGGGGGTGCGGAATTAAATTTGCACGATCGAGACACACGCGCCACCAGCGGGGCGACGACCACTGTAATCGGTTTTTTTCGATTCTTTGCTCTAAGGCTGAAAAGCGTTCCAACTCTTTATTTGGCGACCGATCGAAACGATCGAGGGCAAATTGCTCGTTCATCGGTCGAATCGATGATGCTTTTCTCCTCGCACTCTCTTCAACTGTTGTTCAACTGTTCCTGTCATAGATAAAGGGCAAAATGATTTATTTACGAAGGGTTCTTTTTTTCTTTTTTTCTTTTTTTTTTTTTACCGTGTCGATATTTATTGTCAAACGTGTTTCAAATTAATTTATGGAATTTCATTTTAGCGCTGTGAGAGCTAAGCTTCGAGCAAAAGCTGTTGACGAAGGAAAAGGAAACGAGGTAAATGGATATGCAAACGTAAAAGTTACGATAAGATTTCTCGATCGTTGAGGAATTTGAAAACTCGTGGCTCTTCAAGTTTTCGGTCGAGGTGTATTTCTAAAATTCGAAACGAAAATCACGCATGCATTTCTGTTGTTGGAAAGAGAGAGAGAGAGAAAGAAGGAAACGGTGGCCAAGTAAAGGGTTAGAAGATCGTATTTTTATAAGGTTTGTTACGAAATAGAACGATAAGCCGGGAATATCGAAGGTCAATGAGAGAAGGTACCGTACATAAGAGAAGAATCCGTGGGAACGAAACTGGTGGTGATACTACTACTACTATTTTGTACGATATGATGTTTTTGTATATCTGTCTACCGTATGTATAGGAACGAAGTCTACCGATCATTACAAATAGATGGTTCACATTGTATCGAACACGTATTAAACGATTTGTAGTGTGATGGACACAAAACTCCAGGCTGTATTTACGATCAGTCACACATAGATGTTGTTCCCATTAATGTAAAACACCTGTAAAATCCCTATCGAACAATATATCAGCTACTAAAGGATTGGCAAAGGTTACCTTGTACTTCATTCGCGTGCAATCGCTTTCTGTTTTGTTCACCGTGAATATTTTTGGAATTAAATAACGAATAAGAAACACGATAAGTACGAATTGGAGCTACAAAATTTTCTGCTTCTCTTTGAGATATCAAATTTTATTTATTTATACTCATTGTTAAGACTTTTCCTTTTATTTCTAGTTTTATTCCTGCGTGGCATTTCGCGGCGAAATTTTTCCGAAATTTTTCAACTATTTTAGAGAGAAAGTTCTAGAGAGAATCGTCTAAGATTTTGCGATTTAGGAGGATGTAAAATTGCTGGTCGTCTCGGAGGATCGACCACGTGGCGTCAACGACCACCTGTTGCTTTAGGCAGGAACCAACTGACAGTAAAGGGTTAGCAAAGTCAGTTGTGCGTAAAATTGCAACTCTGACGCGTCGTCTTTGAAACGTTTCTTCCTTTGTAGAACATTGGTCAACGCCATGTGAACGTTACGAATCGATGCTTCGCAGACCTTGAATCCTCCGCGGAATTAACGCGAAGTATTATGCATAATTTTAAAAGTTCTTTCCTAAAAATGAAAGTTAACGGCGAAAGGAGGAGCATACGATAAAAAATACGTAATTATAGATAAGAATTACACGATCGTTTGAATTTATTTTTTTTTTTACTTAAAATTTTTAGTGTTCTTTTAGGAATCTGAAGTTCGACGCTGTTTCCAGATAATCAGATATGTTTGTCGTTCGATTTACTCGAGTTTGAGCATTCACATTTCACAGCTTATGGCTCCAGACGTATTTTCACAAACGTAACTGTAAAATCCGGCCTCTGAGTCAAGGTTAGAATGTTCTCTAACCGTTCCAGCGGCGCGCAGATAATTAACGATCAGCATTTTCAGATTCGGTAACAGACCCGAGATTTGAGACGCAATTAGGATCAATAGGAAAAATATCGTAGTTACAATGGAAATGAATTTCTCTTAAGAAATGAAGCTCTGTTATATATTTCCGGTTTGATTGTTAATTTCCTCTGAATTAAAAAATTACCAACGACGATGATCAACCAAGGATATCAATTATCGATTAATTAAACGTTATTTCACACTGGTGAAAATGTATGAAATGTCTGGTGAGTTCGTATCATCTGATCTGAAATTTCGTGCTATTATTTTATAATTATAAAATTCATACTGTTGTTCTTCGTGCTTCTATTTCGATCATTTTGCCTGAACCATTGGATTGGTTAATCCTAATAATTACAATATTATTTCACAACTATCAAAAGATGTACCAAATTTACAATTAGTGATTACAAACGTCGCGTTTCATATATACACTTGGTTAACAAAATTATTAATGTAAATAGAGATTAATGAGAATATCTATCAACACCAGAACAACCGTATCAAAATATATTCTAAAAGATAAACCATTATAATTTAAATGATAATTTACAATAAATTCATAGGTTCATAGAATTATGCTTCTCTTCCAAACAGAAACTAATATTAATTTCAAACAAGAGCATCCCAGCGTTTTGAGCAGTTGTAAAAGAACGCAAGTCTGAAATCGGTCGTATTGATGGATACTCGATTGTTACAGCGTTAAAGTAATAAAATTCTACAATTATTTACAAAACTCGACAGTTTTAATAAGTGATACACATTTCTTGCTACTTCGAACCCGTCGGCAAACTGGTAACAACTTGATCGCTCCTGCCTACAACACCTTATACACAGGGTGTCTCAGTTAAAGAAGGCTACCTGCGTATCTCTCTTGTTTATAAAAAAGCTTCATGGTACGATTTAAACGATTCCAAGGGAGGAGTAAAAATTTCCCAAGAGTTTTTTCAAGATCGTCGGTATCTTCTACGTGAAACGTACGTACCCTTTTCTCTTGCAAAGAATAAATTTAAACGATAACCTTGACGAAATTAGCTACGACGTGTACGTGAACTGGCGACGGCGATACATTTTCCTAAGCGACCGAAGTACCGTGTTATCCAAACTGTACATCCGTGCCGAGGATCCCGATCCCGATTTCCGGAGAACAGAGAGATCCATCGCGTTCGCCCACGTTCGTCTCCCCTCTTCGCGCGCTTTTTGCACTACGCTCTACCTCCTACCATCGTTTCGCCATTTCCCTCTCCCCGGCGAGCTGATGCACGATGCAGGGGAGAAAGACACACCGCCTTCTGACCGGCTCGTAGTTGCTCGAAAACCTCTCTTACCTGCGCCGTGCGCTCGGTTTTATCCTTCGACAGCAACCCGCTTCCGATCGGTTTCGTCGTCGTCGTCGTCGCCGTCGTCGTCGTACGTATCAGCCGCGCGAACCCTGACCTTCCGCCATTTTGGTCGCGCCGCCGCATCCGGGCTCACCGTTCTTACCGATCGAGCGATATCGCCGCCGCGATCGATACTGAAAGTCACGCCGGGAAGCACGGGATTCGAAAAACGCGCGCTCCTTCTGCCACGCCGAAGTCAAGGAGTCGAGGATGCTGTGACCTCGCGAGATGATCGATCCTCCTCGCGAAGGACCTCTTGACAATTCACGAGAGACAAAGAGGGAGGACCAAGTTGAAATTTCGCCCGGGATCGAAATCCTCCTCTTGGCGGATTTTTATCTTTTCGCGGTTGTCGTGTTTGAGCCGACGAATCAAGGATTCGTTCGGGGTCTTCGAGAGTGAAACCGGGGATCGAAAAACTCTCGACAATTGACGAGAGACTCGTCTCGCTGGCAGAGAGAATTTTTATTCCTTGGGACGCTTCCGTTTCCGAAAGAGAAATTCTCGTTCTTCTCAGACGCGCGTGCAGCATGGTTGATCATCGTTGAAGTGATAAGAGGAATAGAACCAGAGTGTCGGTCTGGAAGATTCTTTGGAATTTAATAGCAAATCGATTCGACAGATTCGGGCAGTGAGCGTGGTCGACGTTGTTGCAAAATCTTGATCGTTCCGATCGAGTATCAAGAGTCTTCTCGGCGAACTTGGATTGATCAATAGCGCTTGGATTTTGTCGGATCGAGCGCCAGTGGAGGATTGCGAAGCGCTTTCTAGGAAGACTCGAGAGCCGCGAGGTCCAACTTGGACATCTGGATGGACGAGACAACTCGGACGGCCAAATTTGGACGCCTCGACCGTTTCCACGCTTGAAAGCGTGATTCGAAGCTGTTTGCTAATAGAGCCGTCGTCTCTCGTCCGCGAAAATCCAACCGCGACGAGCAAATCGATCGCAGGTTCGGAATAGCTGGGCAAAGTTCGACCAAAGAGATCCGCCCTCGAACGAATTACGAACTTTCGATCTGTTGAAACTCGTTCGAAGAGGGATCAACAGGTCCCTAATCTCGATAGAACGGCGTCACGGGTTGGTTATCTCAGAGCAGGGGACACGAGATCTTTCGATCGAGCGTTCTTCTACCACGAGAGTTCTCTCTGGCCAATCGAGTGTAGAACGGGGGGGAGGGATTGGTTCCAAAGAAGCGTTAGATTGGCCAGTTCACGGTTTCGAGGGATGGAAATTCAAAGGCGGAAGCACTTGCATTGAAAGGTTAAATCGTTTGACGCGAAGTTTCTCCGCTGAATCGAAGTGCTCTGAATTCGAGGTTAGACAATTTCGAACGACTTGTTTATCCCGTAGATGAACGAAGCGTTTCGAGATTAGATCAGTCGACGATGATCATTGCCCCTGTTGAATTAAGGAGTTAGGAAAGATATTTTAAGATAGCAAGCTTAAGACGCAGCTTGATCGATCGATCGTTCCTTGAAATTTCCTACTAAATTTCGAAAAGTGAAAATAAATCTCGTCGTTGATCTTTAATCATTGAGATTGCGAGACGGGTCCAAACAGGAGCGCATGATCGATCGATTAACGATAGAATTCGATTGTCCAGCGAGTAATTAGCCTCTCCTTTTCTTTTTCACTCGAAGAGACGTGTCGTTAGCGTGAGGTGAAAAAAATTAGGTTAGCGAGGGAATTGAGATAACCGGCGAGGAAACCGGTTTGAAAAGTGTCGCATTGAGGATCGCGGCGTGTGGAATAAATCACCGGCTTAGTTCGTTCGTAACGTGGCAGGCGCAACTTGATAATAAGCTGTATTGACATTTCCGAAGATAACGAATAATATATCGTCGGCGTGATACAGGAGAATCGATTTGTAGGAAAATATATACCGACGACGGATTCAGGCTCGAAGCCTCGCGATTGAATTAAACCCTTCCGACTTATAAATCTGACTTGTAGAGAATTACTAGAATTCGTTTTATAAATCGAGCGTCGATCGAGCAACGTTTTGTTTCTTTGTTTTTTTTTCCCTCTCTCGCGAAACGTTTTCATTCAAGCTTCAACAAAGACAAAATTCCAAATTGCAGCGTTGTTGACATAAACGTCTAAGTCTCTTCCATCGATGAAAGATCGATGAAGCGGAGGGATCGAGCAAACGCCAAAAGTGGATGAAATTCAGCGAAACATCGCCCGGAGAAGTTCAACCGCAATCACGAATCTCTTCGATCTCTTCGGGAAGGCTCTAACGAACTCGAGCCACTTTGGGAATCAAAGGCTGCA